ACAAAAACATGTATGAACATACAATAGTGTTTGAGCAAGCATATATAGAATAAAAACATTAGAAATTTAGTATATTTCCTAAATGTTTGCCATATTGTAGGAAAATTTTTATTTTTCACATGATGTAGACATACCATTTTGTACTAAAGGTAAGTATTACAGAATATGAGATATCATCTTTATAGTATACATATTTTAATCTTTAAAAGGAATATATAATATATGGAGAATAAATATGATTTATGTTTTGTTCATATTTTGTTTTTAGTCACAAATCCAACAATTTATTTAGTCTTGCTACTATTCAGAAAAAATGTCAATTGTAATTGTATGGATAATGATGACTGGCTTTTATGTCATTAACATTACATGACCTCAAATTGAATTAAGAGCCTGTTAGGTCAATACTCTATAAAGGTTCACCAGCTATTTGTAGTTCATTTACACTTGCACTGTTTATATAATCCTAACTGAGTAACCCATATTGAATATGGCAATAAATGTTGCTATGCTGCTTTTGAATAGGAATAAATATGTACAGCCTAATAGAGCTAACATCTAATGAAAATGGTCTTCAATCTATAATACAACCTGCTGGAGATTCAATGTAAGCTCAGATATTGACTAAGTCTTCAAATTAATCATTAGCAACTAATTGGGGACCTTTCCTGACCAATACACTTTACTGATTTTTAAAAAATAAACAGTAAAATAGCTGATAAAATTTCAATATGCAACTGTTCTCTGACCACAACCAAGGCAATTAAATTGTGCAAGTGTTAATTTTGAGTACATGACCAATAAATATAACAGAAACAAATCAATGAAGAGCACCAAGAAATAACAAATGTAAATATCAGTAATGTTTTATTATGAGTAATAACCTCAATAAAGCAACAAAAGGATGGGGACTGAATACTTCTTTTATTAAATATGTAAATTGATAAGCTTTACTGAAGACTGGGTTTTGGCTCCTTTTCATGCCTGAAAAAGAATATATTTGAATTAAAGAGCTGATTTCAAATTTTAGTTATTAATCTTACTAATTTATAAATTTGTGCATATTGTTTATCTTCTATGAACTGCACTTTCTTCATTTGTAAAATGAGACTAATAAAACCTACCCAATGGGCTTATCCGGGATTACACCATATTATTTAATGAATATGAAATGGCTTTTGAATGAATGTTACTTCTATACCTGTAATTCTTTTATAACTATGTCATTTTGCTCACCTTTTATTTATTTATTTCTGTGGGGAAATTGGGATGTCATTCAATCCTATATTTGTAGAACATACTATATAGAGTAAGGTAATTTTCACCAGCCATTTTTCCCTTTTAGACCCCTTTCATGATTCCTCAGATCTGAGAAAATACAGGCCTGACCAATTCAAATTAGGCCCCAAAGCAGGGTGTGGAGATTCTTACCCATACGTGCAAAGCAGGACCCAAGGTCACAGTCAAGACAGGGTGGTCAGAGGTGAGGGAGGAAAAAAAGATCATAGGGCAAAACCGACAGTGTCCTGGTACAGTTTTAGAGATGCTGGCTCCGGCCTAAAAGAATGTTTGTGAAGAAAGTTGGCTTTGTTTGAAGGGGCTAGAAGGGGTTTAACTACCTAAACTGATTCTGCAGGGGCAGCAAGATGAGATGTAAAGTTTTAACCTTTTAAAAATAGGATTCCCAGCATATATCTTTCTTCTTACTACCTATTTCTTTTTTACACTATAAACTAAAATTTTAAAACCTGGAATAAATGCCACTAACTCAAGTCACTAACAATGAGAAATAGGCAGAAATTTGTGTTGGTAGACATGAACCATTATGTATTCTTTGTGTAATCTACATGTGTCTGTATCTATAGCAATCTCCATCTCTCTATTCACATATATATATTGTGTATATATACACACATACACATATATACAATTACCTAATTTAAGAAATTAGGACAATTACAAATTCAAGTACTCTGTCAATGACTCAATATTCACATAAGCTCTCAGAATAAAGTTTTTATTCATATGCTATTCCCTCTGCCCAATGTGTTTGCTTTCCTGCTTATGCTTTTGTCTACCAGAATAAACTTCTATTCCTCCTTCAAGATTTAGCTCAAGATATAATAAGCCCATCTTAATGATATTATTCCCAAATCTTTTATGGTGTCTGGCATAGTATGTGTCCAACCATTATTTGATGAAGTATTTGTACAGTTAAATGCAAAATTGTGATGTATTACAGAAGATTTTATATATATATATATATATAATTTATTTAATCATATGCCATTTCCTAGCCTAGAGAATAAATTATCTAAGGTAGAAAGACAATGTTCTGGGGAATGATAAAATTATTTTTAAACTTGTAACCTGAATAATTTACAAAATTTACATTGTTTACAATAAGCCTTGTATACACAATCAGTTAAGACTAAAAAAACCCCCCAAAAACCAAAAATGATAAATTTGTAATTTTGTCTAACCTTTGTATAACACTGTACTTTTGAAAGAACACTCTACATTTCCTCTTCATATAAATAATAACAGTCTTATGAGCAGCTAATACTTTCCCAACCTATAATTATATCAGCTGGCCTTGTATCACATTGACAGAATATCTCATTGAATTGAGTTTAGAGCTTAAAGACAATGTGGAGGCCTGGGGGAGACAAATTCGTCAGGAAGAATGAATTATATATGGACTTCAGTGAAGTAAGAAAAAAAGTAAGTTCTGAGCTCCTGGCAAACAAAGGAAAATTGGAAACCTCAAAAAACAATATGCTGGAGGAAAGCAAAATGCAAGAGGCCTGTGGGGCTGCTGGGGCCTGTCTTGGAACAGTAGTATCAGAGGGATTTTAGAAACTTGTGAGATGAGGAGCGAATAGAGTAAAGATTCTTTGCAGACAACTTTTCAGGAGATTCCGAGAGTGACTGAGGCGAGAACTGAGGTAGTGCCTAGTTGTATAAATTCACTTACCTCCCTGGAAGTTTTGAAAGGGATTACAATAGAGATTCAAATTATTTGAAATTATGTTTTAATTTTCTGTGCTATTGTTTATTTCAATGAAATTATAAGCTTAACCAGGACCACAAATTGGCACTAGGTTTATGTTTGTTTCACATGGTACTTGTAGGAAACATGTAGTATAATGATTAAGAGGATAGACTCTGGAGCCAGATTCCTTGGGCTTAAATCACAGCTCTGCTGCTTGCTAGTTGTCTTCTTGGGCAAGTTGTGAACATTTTAATAAAATAGGGGTAATAGCAGTGTGTAGCTTATATGGGTATTTTGTGTAGCAAGTTAGTCCATGCAGAGATAGAGTGTTAGTCCCTGACGGAATAGTTTCTGGCACATTATAAACATTCATTAATGCTATATATTATTATTGTTCTTATTGTTGTTTCTGTTGTTATTCAGAAGATGCAGATGAACATTTATGAGGCCAGTATTTAAAGTTCAGTTATTTTAGAAATATTTTGAGCACTTACTCTGTACCCAGCATAGGCTGAGATTTGAAGATAAGACAGAAGCGAACTCAAAACTCTAGGGATTTCAGTAAAACATCAGGACATAAGACTTGGTTAAGAAAGGGCTTTTTTTCAAAGGTTGAATTAATATTGAGCTATTTGGCATGTGTATAGAACAGAGGTATCCTAGATGGCTAGCATGTTCCTTACCTAACTTCAGTCAAATTATCTGTGATCTCAAATTACACCAAGATGAGTCTTTCCATTAAAGAATGATTTGTGATGAATGACTTTACTATATTATTATTGAAAAGAGGTCAATCAAATGCAAATACTAGGCATGTACGTAGCAGAATTAACAGTAACAGAAAGTAAAGAGCTGGAGTTGGCTTCTCATAGGGTAGGAAAGGCTTCCCAGCCCTGCACTCCTATTTGCCACTAACATTGTTTCTAAGGAAGCTAAACAGTTTTATTTTATCTAACAGATGATTTCTGGTATACGATCATGGACTACTACGATGTATAATACAGCTGTGTAGCACAGAAGGCTGTAAAAAATGGTTTTCCAAAATTTTTAGCATTTTCAATCTTCTCCAGTCTGGATATAAAGGAGTTACAATAACCACTTACATTAAATTATAATTGGAGCATAAAAATGACCATGAAAAACATAGATGCATTGTTGTACAAAATATTTACATATGATTATAGTTTACTACTAGATGCAGCGATTTTCAACCTCTTGGATCTCATGGCACATATAAACTAATTGCTAAAAATTCTGCAGCACACCAAAAAAAAAATTATGTTTTTCTACTGATCTGACAAAAAATAGGTATAATTCTGATTGATTTAAAAAGAGCTAACAATAGTAATTACCTACCTTTTTTGCCCCAATTTTACTTTTAAAAAATTGGGTATTTATAACTGTATATAGGAATTTCTGGTACCAAGAATAAACCATCAAATACAATCTTATTATATGACATGACCAATGAGATGCATCTCTGTTATATGACCTATATATTTAAGTCAGGGTATCCACACTGGATAGCTATTGTTGTGTTGACTGTTGTCATCTTTATTTATTTGACAATCTAACAGAAAAGAGATCATATCCTTGACTAAAGAGTCAGGCATTATATGTTTTAAAAATTCTGTGGCACACTGGTTGAAAATTACTGTACTAGAAAATAGCTGAAATGGAAAACAGAAGAGAAAATTTTTGCCAATAACATGAGTGAAAGATTTTTAAAGAGCAAGTATTAGAGACAGCACTTTCTAATGAAGTAGTAGAGGTTAATAAATTAAGAAGACTGCTTTAGAGTCCATATTAAATATGCAAAAAGAAAAATATTATTTTGATAATACATGCTATGTATGTAAGTGTTGTACTTAAGTCATATATTTATCACTCATTATTTTATTTTGATTAATTTAGTGCTCTGAAAAATATCTTCATTTTAAACTGCAGCAAAATCATAGCACATTGTTTCTGGTCCACACACCTTCATTTGTCCATCTTTTTTCAGGTTTATTCCCTGCTGTCTTGAATCTTGCTTCGAATGCTCTCATCACTACAAATGCAACATGTGGAGAAAAGGGACCCGAAATGTATTGCAAATTGGTGGAGCACGTGCCTGGGCAGCCTGTGAGGAACCCCCAATGTCGAATCTGCAATCAAAACAGCAGCAATCCAAATCGTATGTATTTATTTTAGCATGTTTCTTATGACAATGGGAAATATTTATAAAAGTCAAGGGGCTTGCAATCCCCCAAATTGCTAGAACTTCTCTTCCACTGTGACTTTATTTACAGCCCTTCTCTGTCACTTGACTAGCATTTGGCTTCCTTACCTGAACCAGGTACAGTGCTTGACAGGGTTTTCTAGCTGAAGACCCGTAGCAGTCATGAGGTTTACCATCTCCAAAATAGTATCTGAGGATGTGGTTGTTAATTTAAACTTTAGTCATTCTTCAGTCACTTATGTACCAGGAAATGTGCTGGGGATCCCTGGCTTCAACTAAAGAAGAAATGAGCAAAAAAACAGGCTATTGCTAGATAGTGTGGTAAGTACGAAGGAAAGAATGAGCATAGGAAGAGAAGGATAGTAACAAATTCTCTCTTGGTATAAATGGAGACTTGCCAGATGAATTGATATCTAAGCTGGGATTCAGGGACAAGTTTGGGCTGAGCAAGGAGAGAGAGAAGAAAAGAAGGAATGCCAGGAAGAGAAACCAGTGAGATAGGACACCTCACTTCCTCTGGGAACTGTAAGTAGTCAGGAATGGCTAGAGCTGAGAGCGGCAGAGGCCAGAGGGTAGAGATGAGTGATGTGATGGCAGGAGCCAGATAATGAAGGGTCTTACCACTGCCCGAAGACGCTGTATTTACTCAGCAAGCATTTGCACACCTGCCACTAACAATGCAGTGTACTGAGGCAGAATAGTAAGTCGTACATAGCCCTTGACTTCAGGGAGTTAGAGGAGAAAATAGGGGAAACAGGAAAGTAAATTGAGTGCTAAGGAAACATCTAGAGATTCCTGGGAGAAAGCAACCTGTGTATGGGAAAACTTAGTAAAATGAAAAGGAGAAAAATATTATAAAAGAAAAAGCATACATAAATCTTGAAGGTACACAACAGCATGACATATTCAGAGAACTATAAGTAATTTAGTTTAACCAGGAAAGCATTTCTGTGGGGAAGGAGAGGATGGTGTGAGATGGAGGCTGATTTAGAAATGCATTAGGAAATCATCAAATACATATATTGGGAAGGTTAATAAAGGAACAATGTCAATGAGGTAAGTTATAATGGGATTAAGCTTCACAGTTACATTACTTTTAAATTTGCTTAATGTTCCATTTTTGTTTTAAATTTGTTTTAAATTGTAAAACTTATAAAACAAAAATAATTTTCACAATTTAAATTTTTATATCAAAAGAAAGTTGGGAGGCATTGTGTATTCTTGCCCACAGCTGGTTAAAAGGAAGAATGCATAGTCCCCTCTCTGTTATCTAAGTTAGAGATGCTGAAAACAACATGTTTACACAATTGGAACTTTAGTAATCAAAATTGCTGGCCTTACATGTGACAGAATGTTACCCCAAAATAGTGAAGAAACCAAAGATGGCAACCACCAGAACCTTCCTTGCCTTTTAATGGCTCTGGTTATGTTCTGTGGGGCCAATTGGCATGGCATAGGCATAGGCATAGGCATGGGGGTGCTGGAACACGTGCCGTCTGTTTCCTTTTCTTGGGTAGCATGACAAGAACAACGGGCCTAACCTGAGCGCTGGAAAAACATCAAAAGCAAGAAACTTGAAGTAGGGGCCAAACAACAAAGCAATGGATGGACTCTGAGCTTCAAGTTCATTAGGGAAAATGATGAAGGTGGGGAGAAACTGCCATTGGTTCAGGAACTTGTGGCCTTGATGGTTTCATAAAGAGTGTGAGAAAGCATGGAGGCAGGGAAGTGCTTTTGGGGGGAGGCGGCGGGGGGGACGGTGTTGAGACTGTGTAAATGTGTGCTTAGGATGGGCCAGGCACGCAGGGAGAGCTCAAGTGTGTAAAGTGTCTGTGTATGTGCCTCTATCTGTGTGGATACATGTATATATGTATGCCTAGATATGTGTGTATACAGGTATGTATATAAATATAAACCCACATAAAGGGTGTAGCAAAAGTAGGTTTACAGTGGTATGTGAAAGTTTATTCTTGTATTATTATTTATTAATTATTGTGTTAGTTTTCATACAAATAACTGACAACCTACTTTTGCCTCAACCCGCATTTATAATTCCTGCCTACAAGTACAATGTAGGGCAAATAAATAAATAAATAAATAAATAAATAAATAAATAAAAGGCTTAGATAAAAGGCAATTAAAAAAATGTTGAAAACTCTAAATTCAAGACTATACCTTTGGTACATATTATAAGTGATGTGGATTTCTGAGAAGTAAAGCATCAGTGGGAACTGAAGGAATAAGAAAAAGTTCCAAGAAAGTGGTTAGTCTTAGAAGGGCACTAAAAAGATGAATTACTGGAGATAAGAGGGGAAGGCATTTCAGAAATGGAGGGAAAAAAAACTGTCGTCAGGTGTAAGAGACAGGTTAGAAGTAAAGTGCAAATATGGGGCTAGAAAAAATGTGAGTGGAGACTCTCAGTTGGAAAAATGGATGAGAGGCATCCACTAAATTGAGTCCAAGAGTGGCTTTTACTTCCCTCTCTAGAGTTGTATATTCGGGGTCTCCTTGTCACAATGAAAGACGTTCATATTTAGGCAATCTTACTCCATATTTTCACATTAGGACAAAAAAGCAAATTTTTTCAGTAAAGCAGGTACATATGAGATATGCTTTGTATTTCCCATTTTTGTTCATTTGTAGTGTTTTTTAAACTTATCACAGCTTAGATTTACTTTGTGTGATTAATTTTGAATTACCAGCTTCATTACATTTTAAAGTCCTGTTTTAGAGCTAGACCTTTAGAAAGCATAATAATCCATAAGAGTAAAAATCTAGGAATATCTCACATGAATATATTTTAGGAAAAACTGGAGCAACTGCTGATAAAATTCCACAAATTCAGTGGACTCAGAATAAATCTGGAAAGCTTATACTTAGTTATCATACAAAGAAAACAAAACTTGAGGTTTCAACTGTTAATAGATTGTGCTTCCCAATTAAAAAATAGCAGTTGGAAAAATTTACTTTATCAATAATTTTCTCACCAAATTTTAGAAGCAGTTAGCTTTGGATTGATTTATATCACTATTACTCTTAAGGATGCTATAAGTTTCTATCTTGTAAATAAGAAAACTATGCCACTAATTAATCAGTTTTTGCAAAGTAATTATGATTAAACTTTCATAATGGGGATTATAGTTAATTGTTAATTCACCTCCCAGTCTTCCTTTTTGTGAATAATTCTCATATCAATTTGACCTGAAGTGGCAGATATCAAAATTTCCAATTAGACAGCTCCTTTTACAGTTACTTAAGAGCCATGAAATTTAATCTGGATATGTGGTTTTATGTGTGTGTTTTTCCTATCACATATTAAACTCACAATCTGTAAAGAAGATTCAAGAAGACTTTAAGGAAATGTTCCCTGTGATATTTATTATTTTTCAGAAGCAACGTGAGTAATATTTCATTTATGAACTCTGATCCCTAATGGTCCAATTTCATCACCCACTCACATCACCAAGGGCACTTATTTGATATAAAGTTATGCTTCTTGTATTCGTTGTCATTATAAAGACCTGATACCTTCCCTAGCTTCAACAGAAGAAGTTAACTCATGTTAATTATGCAATATATTCAGCAATTTTACTTTTCATTGAGATTGGATGTTTCATTATGTGGATGGCTAATGTGAAAAGACAAAGTGCAAAACAAAGTCCATACAGCTGTTTAGTTGATTTAAATAATTTACCAAGAAAGAACTGACAGTAACCAGAGGTGTGGGGAGGGGGATAACGGGGGAAAGAAGGGAAAGGTTCATCAAGGAACGTGTATGAAGGACCCATGGACAAAGCCAAAGGGGGTTGGGGTCAAAGGTGGGACAGGGGGTGGGTGGGGTGCAGGGGAATGGTGGCGGAAAATGGAGACAACTGTACCTGAATAACAATAAAAAAATAATTTACCAATAAAAATTAATTATTTTTGTTCTGTCCTATAATTCATATTACCATAAGTAACTCAAAGGCATAAGCCTTTATGTTTTCAATTAAACAGGATATAGCAGACTATGTTAATAAAGTTAATATGTAATAAAAATGTTCACAATCTGAAAATTGCATATTTATTGAATACCCAGCTTTTAATATTTTTTTCCTTGAAGATGATTTTACTTTACTATTACAACTTTATTGCAACAAGGACTTCATTTTGCTTGATTTTTATGTTCAAGTTTTTGTTAAATGTAATTTGTCTCCAATTACTATTCAGAACAGTGTATATTTTGAACAGATATATTCTTAATTTTATGTATATGCACAATAATGGTTACAATAACAATAGCTGTGATGTTCCTCAGGTAAATCTGTGAGCTGAAAGTTCCTATCCAAGTTATTTTTACTGGTCCATGGCAAAATGAAAAAGTGAGGAAAAAAATCCAAAATTTCATGGGAAAAAAGGCATACCTTAAAAATTATCCTTCGTTTTGGTATTCTGGTTTTAAACTTTTAAAAGGCTTTCATTTTACCAAACAATAATGATGGTGTATTAAATGATATTAAAAGTAGACAGAAGGCAACTATTACTTGGAGAGCTTGTGCTCATTTTTTAAAAATTTATTTTCTCTGAACCTTAAGAATGTGGGAAACACTGATGTCAGTGGACTTTTATTACCCCTACTTCAAGCATGACCCACAGAGTTTAGGTGGCCAATCAGTACTGAATGGGGGAACGAGGTGGACCGCCTGACGTTTCATACTCCAGCTCTTCATATTCGAAATGTGTGCTCTCCCATCACCGCTCTCATTAGAGCACCTGGCTGGACTACTGTAGGCACATCCAAAGTCCAGAGTTGTTCCTCACAGTGATAGGTTTTGTTCATTTTTTTTGAAGTATTGCTTCAATTTCCAAAATAAAAAACAAAAAAAATGTGTTCTGATCTAAGAGTTTATTGTTAGGCCATCCATTCGAAACACGTTTCCAGAGAATTAGTATTATAAAAGTTCTCAAGACTGAAACCTCAAGGCATTCTTCATCCATAAAGAAGAGAAGACTAGGAGGGAAGCTAGCCCCCACTCGTTTTCATTTCTTTGGGAAAATATGCTGACTTGCAAGCAAGAGGTTAGGAAGTTAATTATCTTTAATTCAGCACTGGGGCTAGAAATAGGAACATCCCACAATCTCCACTCCTGTCAGTTCTCACCTCTGCATGGCCTGGGGCTCTTTAGAGGAGGAGGAAAAAGAAAAAGAATTTCTGGGAAACTGGAAGCACAGATCTCAGACAAAGCCAACGACTGAGAACCAAATTGGAAAGAGGGCTTCGGCAGCCCAGAGGTAGTGACTGCTGTTCCGAGATGCCTGGAACTCAGTCGGAGACAAGGAACGTGAGGTGTGAGGGTTGTAAGGAGTGAGGGCTGTGGGAGAGGACTGTGGGGGAAGGGGACAAGGATTGCCCATACCTTTGATTTATTGTCTATCCTCAGTCTCTCTTTTATTCTCACAAAAGTTCCTGTTCTCACATATCAGAGTAAAGGCAAGGAAAGATCCATATTTTTTTGGCAGGATGGAGTTTCCTGCGCACTCCTCTTGCTGTTATTGTCCAGACTTCTCCACTGAGTGAGGGATTATGGTCATAGGCAAATGCTGCCTGGGAGGTTTGGAGTATCTTTCATTGTACCTTTAAATAGTGGTGGACAGTTGGTAACTTAAGAACTGACTACAAAGAGCATCATAAGATGGATCTGACAGCCCTTTATATTAAAACCAGTTACATATTAGATTGCCTGAGTCTTGGTAATGAATTTGTCAGTAGGACAAATCTTCAAGTACTTTTAAAACACAATTTAATGTTTTATGTTTCTGTTAACAAAGTTGATAGCATACTAGAGCCACCTCAAGACTAGAGATTTTGCTTCTTTGAATGCTTTGAATGATTGACACATCTATTAGATTTCAATATTATTTGTTCACAGTGAATTTCTGTAGTTATTGTTAAATTTGCCCATTTTACTTCATGGCCAGAGTGCTGAGCAGGTTCTTGTTTTATAGCCTAAATATTTAGCCATTTCACACGACCTTTTACACTGCTATGGAAAGGTGATATTAAATAAATTCATGTGAAGATATGAATAGTTCTGTCTTTATGTTATTTTAATGTCTGAGAGTCATATGCCGATGATTTTAACTAGTTTTTACTTTCTTGAAAGGAACAATTATATATTTATCATGTAATCTTTTCTCCTCCTTTCACATGCTGCTGCTGATTCAATAGAGAGACACCCAATTACAAATGCTATTGATGGAAAAAACACTTGGTGGCAGAGTCCCAGTATTAAGAATGGAATTGAATACCATTATGTGACCATTACACTGGATTTACAACAGGTATAGTACCTACTTCTTTCTTTCTTTTTAATTCCATGTGTTGTACTTTACATTCCCATGACTATTTTGTAGCTAGCTACCAATTTGTGTTTATTAATCCCTTCACCTTTTTTTTTTTTTTGAACTGGGTCTAGTGCCTCTGTCTCTTTTTTTTTTAATTTTTATTTTTTCATTTTCCACTTTGAAATTGTATTTTGGTTTTGCTTTTTGTGCCACTAGTAGTTTTTTGGTAAGAAGATACTCCTTATCACTCTCCATTATTTTCCAGATACAATGAACAAAGTGGCCTATTCATTTAGTATGCTGTTTTAAATTTTTTGGCATTTATTTCTAAAGCACAGCTAAAATGAATTCACAGAAAGAGTTTAGCACTGAGCCCTGACCATTGTGGCTCAGCTGGTTGGGCATCGTTCCACAAAGCAAGGGGTCGCCAGTTAGATTTCAGGTCAAGGCATATGGCTGGGTTGCAGGTTCCGTCCCCGGTCAGGGCACTTACAAGAAGCAGCCAATTGAAATTGCTCTTTCGCATTAATGTTCCTCTCCCTCTGTTTCTCTCTCCTTTCCCCTCTCTCTAAAAATAAAATCTAAAATATAAAAAACAAGAAAAGAAGGAGGAAAGTTTAGCACCAAATAAAGAGCTGGTTCTATTTTGGCTGATGAGAATTAATGATGAAAATATAGATCAACAAAATTTTACAAGTTGTTTGAGTTGGTGTGGCATAGCCTAGGTGCTTTCCACCCTTAGTTTCTTTCTCTTCACAATATTCAGATTAGGCTAGTGTTATTAATTGAGAGTCACCATCACCTCAACTTATTTAGGCTTGCAAATGCTATGGAATCTGGAAAAATGTTCCCATAGTTTTCTGTTTTTTTCCAAATGCAAAAGCCTATCTAATTGACTGAGGCCTGAGACTAGAAGCATTGAACCCTTTAACTCAGCCTGTTTCTCTCTCACTCCCTGGAGTCAGCATGAGACTCTTAGCCATTCCTCTCTAGCCTAGTGGGGATAGGGTAGCAAGAGAGTTGGGGGTCAGTAAAAAGGAAATGGCCAAGATTGTTATTGACAGAAACTGTGCATTGGTCTGTTTCCACAGGTGACCATAGAGGAAGGAAACACTAGTCATTGGGGGTTAGGCACATTCTCAGGCGTTCAGATGGACACCATGCACTTCCGCAAGGGGAGTATGACTTTTCCTCTTCACAGTTTGGGCCCATTTTGGCCAGAGTACACACATTTAAGAACTAAAAAGAGCTGACTGGTGGATCTCACAGCAGACCCTCTTTCCACCCACCTGAGACTCCTCAGGACTTGAACAACTGGATAGCAGCAGCAGTTCAGTGCCACAACTAAATCACCAACTGCCCTGGATATATTTCCACGTATACCTGCAGAGGAAGGTCAGGTCTGAGTTAGAGGGATTTCTCAAAAAGTCTCAGAGCACTATCCAGGAATGGAATATTGAACTACCACACTGATCAATCACGCTGTAGGTCAGTGAAGTCTTATGCGTGAATTTCCTGCAAATTCTAGCCTCAAAATGCACTCCATTCTTCTCCTGATACAGACAACCTGATCTTTTATCAGTCACAGAAGTTCTCCCCTTTTTTTGTGGCCACCGAAGTTGTGCCTTCCCAATCAGGAGTGAGTCTGCTCTCTCTTACCTCAGGTCATTTCCTGGGATAGGGAATCAATAAATAGGGATGGTTGGTTGCTTTGGTTTCCTCTCCACCTATGTCTTTTTATTTCACATGGAACAAGAGAGTAAATTATTGATATAATTTGCATAAATAACTTATATTTGAGCTCGAGCACAGTGGTGGTGGTGCAATACATGGTACAATCACAAGTTTTTACTAAATAATTTCTATCCAGTATATGTATCTTATTCATTCAACAGGTCAAAGATTTCACCTGAAAGCCCATTTTTTAATAAGGCCATTTATATTTTCCTAAATTTGCTTTGCATCCCTACTCATCCATTCCCACATGGTATCTTAGGACTTATGTGGATTTGTTTTCCTATCCTATCTTTCCATTTAGTCAAATGGCCTTAAAATGAGTGAATACTTAAGACATCTTTCTTTTATAGTTCATTCTTCATAACAAGTGTCAGGAATCTGTTTATAAGACAGGCCTACCTGACTGCAAAGTCTGGAATACACCCAGTGGACGCGGTGCAGAGATATGTCTTTATACGCTCCCCTATCCCAGGATGGTACCCACTCATGTTCTTTACTTCAGCCCTCTCCTACTTCCTGTAAATCACCCTACTTTGTATTCAAGAGAAGGAACATAATCTATAAAACGAAATACATCTTACTTCTATTTGACTCAGATTTTAATTTAGTCAATGATTTAATGATGTAAAAAGTAAAGCAGGTCTGTAGTCAAGAGTTTATAGTGGAGTTCCTCAGAAAGGAAGAGGCTTTGGCACTCTCGATTAGCCTTAGGCTTTGGAGTAACACACTGTGGAACATGTTCAGGGAACTTAACTAAGGAGCAAAGCTTCAGGAACACGTATTTCCATGCATTGGCAACAGAGAAAATGTGGGCATCCTTATTTTTTTATTTATTTCTTACAGTAAGCCTATTATCCTAGTATTAGTATCCTTATTATCCTAGTAGGTCTAGTATTATTATCCTTATTTAATAGTTGAAGAACACTGAGACCTAGAAAAGCAAAGGGACTTGGTCCTCTTAACAAAGTTTTTATAAGCATGGCTGGGATTCCAACCTGAGTACTCTCAATTCAGACCCTAACTACATCAGTATTTCTTAAACTGGGGTTTGAAGACCTAGCCTGGGAAGCTACATTGTTCAGGTTCAAAAAATGCCACACTATGATCTCCTGGTTTCAACGGGAGAATATAGCCAACATTTGTTTTGTAGTATAATACGGGACTAGATTTTTCATTTTCTAGTACATTTTAGTATGCTTTTAAAATGGCAAAACTTGTTTTTTCTACCTATATACAACATGAAGGATTCGTAGGTTATTTCACATAATACGAGGGCAGCAGTTTTATACTGAGTAGGTAAATGTCACTGTCAATGATTCTGCAAGGGGTTTGACCACTTACTGGTCCTCCTATATATTTCAAGATGTATGTATTTTAACAAGTACCATTTTATCTTTTCCTATCCTATCTTTTGTTATTGATACACACTTGGCTCCTCTGTGAAACGCATGTATTAAACTATTTTAAATATAAACAGTCACCTTTGGATTTCCTTGATTAAATAATTACAGATTACACTGGAACATTTCTTTTATATTTTAACATTCAAGGTACTAGAAAAATATAACAACTTATGGAGAAGAAGTAGTTACTTTATAAATTGATTGCTTTTAGATTTTTTATTACTAAGGGATTATTAACTTTTCCCAATTCTATTATTTACTCACAGCATATTGTGAGCAAATGATTTGATCATGCTGTGCCCCAATTACTAGATTAGGAAAAATAAATATTATAAATTCATGGCAAGAAATTTGAAATAATGAGAATAGCAATATAGCAACTAAATTCCATCTGGTATTTGCAGCTATTGTACTGTTCTAGTGAAGGCATAAACTCAGAAGTTTAACTGTTCCAGTGATGACTTTGCAAAAACCCAGTACATTGGCAAAGTGTGCATCAATTTAAAAGACAATAATAGAGGTTTGAAAGTTAATAGGATGTCTAAAATATGTTATTTTAATCCCTTTCAACCATATTTTTGCCACCACATATATTGTGATATCTGATCTCATTTTATAACTTTTGAAATCGTGCCATTTTCTCAGGTAGACCCTTTGATTTGTTTAGGAAGAAAGCTGATTAGCAAGTGGGGTAAAATACAGAAAGGGCAGCTTTTAAATAGAATTTGTGAACACATATTAGGTCATATTCACTCCTGCCTATTTCCATAGCCCACGAAATTAGATGTGTTTATGTGGAGGAATCCCCTTTACTCAGTTAACAGTTCCCTTCTCTTTCTGGTTTTCCCCCCAAAACTACAAATGCAGCTATCAAGAAAGATTATCTTGCAGCTTTAGGGTTTAATTTCCACATGTTCTTGACATAAATATTTTAATTACTGACCTCATAGAGACATATTTAGTGAAACAGGCTAACAATATTAAATGAGAATTATGTTTTAGAATAAGATTGGATCAACATATCTATGTAGATATTATAATGCTTTCAGAATCTATATTAATAGCATAGAAGCATTTTTTCCTAAAGCTTTGAACTGTTAATTAATGATTGAACCCTTCTGTAATTAAAAAAAGCATGAAGTACATTGAAGTATTTCAATGTATTCAAATTCTTCAAATATTCAAAATTTATTTTGTTTAAACATAAGGGTTTTCAAATTTTAAGTCTTGAAAAAAGATTATTATTTTCTCATATGTATTCTTTTCTCATATTCTCTTCTTACTCATTCCTATTAATAGAATCTTTTGTTCTGTAGCTTAGAGAGAATTATTAGCTTCATCCATTAAATAATGAAAAAGAGATAGATACAATTCATAATTAATCACTCAACAGGTAGAAAGGAGTACAAACAATATCTCTGCATTCAATATATCATTATCTAAATAAAGAGAGAAGCCATACATGAATGTATTAAAAGCCACGTGAGATTTAAATTTTAAATAGTCCAGTTAAATATGCTTATATTCAACAGAATCTATTTGATGTAAGAGTTTCCTTTTGGAGACAGATCTCAATAAGACATTAACCCATAGCATGGTGATTGGATGTTTATTTTCCTGTGGTACCATTACATTGTGAATTTTTGTAGACAGCTGTCTATGTTTGTTTATATTGATCATAATTTTCTCTGCATTTAGCAGGAACTCAGCATATATGATGTAAGAATGATCCATCCATGCTTTCAAATCGCTGAATTTTTTTCTTGGTACTATTTAGATCACTACTAAATTGATAAATACAAAACCAACTATAGAGGAGATTATAATCTACTTGTTTAAAACGTCCTATATGAATAC